CATAGTGGATGTATTAGTCTGTTTTCTGTTGTAACAAATACTTGTAAATGGGTGTTATTTACTCTTTATACTAGGGAGACAATATGATGTTTACACGTACAAGACTGATTTATTTCACTTAGAAGTATGGACTCAAGTCGCATCCATTTCCCTATAAATGTCTCAAATTTATCTGTCTTTATAGCTAAGTAGTGCTCCATTGTATAAAAATAACCACATCTTTTTTATGCATTCCTTGGTTGATAGGCATTTGGGTTGTTTCCAAGATTTTGCTATGACAAATTGTGCTGCTATAACATGGGTGCACATATATCACTGTATGATATTTTTAATTCTTCCAGGAAAATACCCAGAAGGGGAATAGCTGGGTTAAATGGGACCTCTAATCCTAGTTTTTTTGAGTAATCTGCAGACTGATTTCCAAAGTGGTTGCACCAGTCTGCATTGCCACCAGCCGTGGAGAAGGGTTCCTTTTTTCCCACAGACCCTCCAGCATTTCTTGTCTCGTTGATTTCTTGATGATAGCCATTCTTACTGCGATGAGATGAAATCTCAGTGTTGTTTTAATTTGCATCTTTCAACTGAACAATGATGTGGAACATTTTTTCATGTATTTATTTGCCATTTGTATTTCTTCATTTGAGAAGTGTGTATTCCTCTCAGATGCCTATTTTTGGTCTTTGAATTTGGGGGGTCTGATTTTTTTCAATTCCTTGTATGTTCTAGATATAAGTCCTTTGCCTGAGGGACAGTTAGCTAAAATTTTTCCCCACGCTGTGGGTTGTGTTTTCATTCTATTGGTGATTTGATGTACAAAAGCTTTTTAATAGGATGAGATCTCAGTTGTTGATTCTTTGGGGTGTTTCCATGAAGTTTGGGTTGTGTTCATGAACAGTAGATAAGACCCAAAATGTACAATAGATATGAAATGGGGAGAAAACGCTCAAAAGGAAAGACAAACTGGAATAGGGGAAAGGAGAAAAGAAGGAAGGGAAAAGGAAAAAAATACACACACACACAAGATAGTTAAGATAGTTATACTACTAATTGCTATTAGCTCATTGAAGGGAAAAGTATATGCCTATACTGTTTAATCGATATTTCATGCCTATATCTTGTAATATGAGCAACTACTTTGAAGATAACAATATACAATGTATTAACCATTGTTATTCTCCTACAATCTTGTTTTGAAATTTTATACCAGTTTTTAATATTTTTATTTTCTTTAAAATATAAAATAAATTGAAAAATAGAATACAGCTAAAAGAACCTCAAATACTTACAAATGGGTACTTTACAAAAAAGAGAAGTTTAAGTGGCTCACAGTTTTGGAGGTTCATGAGCATAGTGTCAGTGTCCTGGCAAGGCTCCCTGTCTGGGTAACAAAATGATGAAGAAATGCATAGTAAACTGGCCACAGCAGAAGCAATCACCCAGTGAGATAGGAAGCCAGAGATTCCTTTTTGGCTG